ATAGACGCGTTCTTGGTCGGAGTTGACATAGATGATGCCCGGGGGAACTGACTGTTCATCACATTTGTTAAATGACATTAGTGACGACTGAAACAAAAATAACATAAAAATGTTTGGATGAGTTTAGATAAACAGTTATAACATACATTTTCAAATATTATGTAGCAGTTTAATTCGCGCTGTTCAATTTTCAACCTCCGCAAACTGCAGTCATGGTGTTTTCTGTTTGATAACTCGTTCTCAGGTGATCACGGAAGGACGGTTAAAATATGTACACCAAATATACACATCGATCGGTGGTCATTTGTAAGAACAACACTAAAGTAACACCGTAGCCGAGTTTTTAACGCGCGTAGTGATAACGGATAAATAGGCTGCACAGTAAAAGAAAAAAAAATATTTGCTGTACTTGACGAATCGTCGAACATAGGCGCAGGAAGCCAAGGAGCTATATAAAACTGTACATCACTGTTCCCTGTTTTTTTTGGGGGGGGGGGGTGTACAAAAATAGACAAGGGATGAAGGCTCCAAGTCCCATTTTAATTTATAAACAAAAAATATTTTTTTTTCTTCAAATTTTGCAAATGCCTAACCATTACTTTACGTCATATTAGTAGAAAACCGTGTAGTCATTCTCGTTTAGTTTTCTTGATTTATTTATTTACTATTATACACCTGTTTCCGTGTCGTCACAAGTTACTGCGTGCTGCAATGCTTAGTGTTGCATGGGGTATCTGCATCTTAGCATATTCAGGAAATGCGAATTCCAAATATTGAACGATTTTCCAGATGGCGGGAGTTTTTTTCAAAATGAAGTTCATAGCGAGAAAGTCGGCAACCTGTACCGAGAGATTTGGCCAGGAAGATGTATAATGACAATAATTATTATAATTACGAGTTATTACGAGGACAGTACGCGCTGGTCGATATTACAAATGTATAATTTGTGGCATCTCCCAATGACCTCATATTATTTTGTTATTACAATAGCAGATTGGTTAGAACGTTATAGTTATTTAGAAACTGAGTGATTGTTACTGACACTAACGAATATATATTATTGGGAAAGTTAAGAAATCATCCGCCTTTTGATCTTTCGTTATCGTATGTTAGATCCTCGTGTCCGGGCGTCGTGTGGCCCTTTGATCTTTCGTTATCGTATGTTAGGTCCTCGTGTCCGGCGTCGTGTGTGGTAATTTCTCCTGGAGAAGCACTTCATCTCCCGGCTGAATCAGAAATCTAGGGATTCCCCTCCAAATAGGGTTAGCTTTTGTTGTTTTTGTACATGATTGAGAAAGGGTGTCCATGCTCGAAATCGATTGCCTCGTCCGGGCAATATTCTGACAATACGACTCTGCGTATCATGTCGTTGCGTTTCAGCTTGTGCGCCCTCTGGAGTTTTCAAATAATTGTATAATACAATATGCCATGAAACATGTACCGACTGGAAATGTGAAACGAGCTAGCACGTAAAATCGCACACTGCGATGTGTACTATTAAAATTACGTATTTGATTTCAATAATCGCGAAAGTATTAGTCATTTGCTATTGTAAAATATTAATTCATGAAGTGTTCCTTTCGAATTACTTCATTAATATTTATTCTTCACCACCCAATAATCATTGATTTACTGGCGTTGACTGTCATATCCGGGAGATAAGGAACACCAACAAAATAATGAAAATTTAATGTTATTCTCTTAATTCATAGTAGTTTCATAGTACAACAACAACACAGATAGTACACATAAATGTTGCTATTCTGGAAATGATAAGCCGCTGATGTTCGTTGTTAACATAAACACATAATATTTCTCATCAAGCTTAATAATTTCTAACAATAGAATCGTAGGCGAGAAACACCATGTATTTTAGAAACGCTGGCATCTCTGGCCTCATAAATGGACGACACTTTACGATACCAACTGAATTATCACTTTGTTATGTTTTCTTTCAATTGCGAAATACAGCGTCATAAAAGCCTGAAGAGAAAATTTCCCACCATTATCTTTCTTAGTCCTACTATTAAACGCAGCCTAACGGTATATTGAGGGCGTACATTCATTTGTGAAGGTCACATTGACGTGAAAGCGTGCGTTGTAAACGCGAGGGTGTTATACTCATATTGCAGTACGAGGAGAACATATCGCTAGACACCGCTCTCCGAATTCGAGTACTACATCAAACATGTTGTTTGGTGCATTTGCACTCACGTTTGCCATCCATCGTTGTTCGTGTTGCAGGGAACTGCTCTATAGATTCAACTTGGCCATCACGCCGAACTCTACACGCCGATTATCACCAAGATAACAGAATATACTACAACTATTTAGCGGTTTGCCTTTATTGACAGTCACGTTTTATATTTAAATTGACGCATAAGAAGACGCCTCTTATGGCAGTATGACTCGGACGTAGTAACGAACACAAATCGGTATTATTTTTGAGGTAATGTGTGCGATGTGAGGCGACCCACAGTGTTTCCTGCGTCTATCAAGTGCACCCAAAGTGACCGTTATTGATTACGCGCCCTGAGTGTGGAACCATGCATTGTGTAAAAGTTTGGCTGTCATTCGCCGTGCCTCTTTTTGTTGTGGATGTTTGTTTTGGTGACACAGAGAGGCGATTACCCATTGTTGACAACAATACGTTTGATCTCAACTTCGCTGCTTTGTTTCCCTTCACGTCAGAGCACCCAGAGAGCCGTACAGCTTGGGCTGTCAAACCTGCCGTTGATTTGGCATTACAACATGTGAACAACAACACCAACATTTTACAGGGATATCACCTGCGAATAACACCATACGACACTAAGGTAGGTACTTGTTGCCTGTTTGGTTCATAATGTCAATTATTATTAATGCAGTAGAAATATGAATAGCAAAGTGACATAAATTCATATAAATATAATATCCAATAATTATTCGGAAGTGCGATGGCTACAACACCTCCTCAATGCGGCAGTCATCTTTGAAATGCTCACGTTGTGTATCCGCATTGAGACCGTCCGGTAAAAACAGTTGCCTTAAGGTAGAGATGCACATGGGATACATACCCCATGTGCTTGTATAATCACTTCATGTGTAGGTTTACCACTGTGCGAACTTCTTTGAAGGATATACCTATTGGTTCTGGTGTGACTCGGGACGATCACACACGCACTGCTACACACAATTTGTTTCAAATAATATGAGTTCTCCCTATTCTATAAGAGCTTTTATTTCGGGAAAGTGAAAGGCTGTAATTTGAGCGTTCAGATAAACCCAACTGTACGATTTCGTAACACGTTGTCTTAATTAGTTTTATTGCGCGACCTACGGTGCACCATGTTAGCTGAGACATGACCTCATGCAGACACTTACAAATATTACAAATTCAACTAAGTAATACACGATGCTTACGAATATCTGTACATGTATGGGCTAGAGCATGGCACATAATTTTCATCTGCAGAAACGTGACCAAAGTATGCGACTATGAATATGAGTGCATGAGGGTGTCCGTAATATATGGCAAATTCGTAAATGCCAAGTTACATATTATTTCTAAACGCCCTGGTTTCTATAATAACATATTCACTGTACAAAAAAACTAACGACACGCATCCTTCAATATGCTGACATATTTGTTTCATAGTCAACATAAAAGGATTCTTCATTATATAGACTTGTACACAAAGACAAAAAGGTCGACGTAGCTAATCGCGGCGTAATGGAGTTCTATAGGAAATGCATTAAGAAGGAAACCACTGACCTTTCCGTATCTCTGTTATCCGTTATTGAGACACAGTACGTTTACTTATTTTCTTTTTTTCGCTCTAAATGGCATATATTTAACTCACCGGGGACTACTTAGATGTTATGCAACCACGTTTTTTTCTGGGGGTGGTTTTACTTGTTTTAAATATAGTAATCAGTCACACAAACACTCTTCGCTTAATACTGGAACGCATTGCAGATCGTCTCACCATTTAGACGGTATAAAACGACACAGCAGATGACTCTGCGTATTTACTAACCGAGCTATTTTTCATACATAACTCAATATCCAGAGATTTAGATCCAGTGGTAAAAAAACCCAACAAATTGCTGTCAAACAAGTAGATACATATTAAACACCCATTAGATGCATGTCTAAGAGGTAACTCGTACAGTAATCGTGAAAAAAAGTTGTATTTCACACTATTAGAACAATGATTAAACATGATGTTCCGTTCATTTCACCTTGGAAACATGATCTTTACGTACAAAGTTAAACAAATCAGTCAGTTCTGTAACACATTAACTACAACACAGTTGTGCTAAACGTTAAATAGCATTATATCGTGGTCAACTTCAAATAATTAGATTTCTATGCACATTCTTTTGTACATACTTCTACGAGTTTTATATACTGTTATACTGATGTGCATATCACATCTCTGACAATGCGATTGATAACAATCGCTGGCAGAAACGAGCGGGTGTAGACGTCAGGAACAATCGTTAATATTTTATATGGCTTAGTTTGAATAGCACATTATTCAGGACGCTCCTGTATATTATACTGTTATACACGTACGATGCTATAACAATCTCTGGCATGTCCTTCAATTTGATCGCCTGGATTGAAAGTGTCGATTTCCTTACTGTTAGCAGGAATCGCGGTTGTGAAATCTGACACTACGGTTTTATGTACACATAGACGTATGTCTTGCGGGTAAATAACTGACTTTATGCAGAACATAACTTTATGACCAGAACATAGCGTAACACACGATATTCATAAATATAATATGTATTGTAGTGAATTGCGAGGCGAAATCGAGAGTAAATGTCTGAAATTCTAAACATCCATCTTATGCTATGTAGTACATGCCGGTTTCAACATTCCCAACTTAGTTAGCATATATTTTATTTCAAACAACCGTGACAAGAATACGAGTACCCGTCAATGTTATATCATAGCAGAGTAGGTACACGGACCTTTGGTATGATAATACAATTGACAGTTAATTTCAAGCTCGAATATTCGACTCCATGTATTGGAATGCATACTGAAGTAATGTTATACCCCATACATTAATTATATTGTTAATGGGTGAATGCAAGTTCGACCCATTCTTTTATGTAATAATACATGTGTCATCATGGGCGATATGTTTGTACATATATATAAACCGTGCAGTATGCGTCCTACATCGCTATGACTGGTTAACATTTTTGACATAGGCTATACGAATGTTAATGTTTGAACACAACCAACGCACACTTACTGTCTTTCATCCACAGTCCTCGTTTTGTTATCTTTGATCAGAATTATGTATAATTAGAAGAGAATACTCGTGACAAGCGATAATTGCATCCGGAATGCACGTACACGTACCGTCAAATACTCCGCTTATTGGAGGACGATAAAGAACCCATGTTCCACTAATGATGTTGCTTGAGGGACTGACGGAAGGAGTTCTTTGCATTGTCCAATTATCGCTTATGTGAACGAATCTCTACATCGCACAGCTCCTGACCACGTGATTATATTCACTCTTACGTCTTCGTAAGACTTTGTAAGTTTCTATCACATCAAGAGAGCAGAGTGATAATAATTTTATACATTACACACTGTATACCTGAATTCTAACATGCTCGATAATTATACAATGCCAACTGCATCGTAATAGCACGGCATGTGAGACTAGCGGTAACAGTACCGGGTAATGTATTACACATACATGTGTATTGAATTTGACAGTTGTTGCGCTGTTGGATTATGTTCGAAAGACACGCGTCAATGCATTGTATGTTATAGTAATATGAATATGTCCGTTTCATCTCTAGTCTCGAGTCTTAAGTGCTTCCTAGTCGTTTTCCTTCTTGTGGACCTATTCATATACGTTTTCATACCAGTTTTCCGTTATATTAATATCATAACTTGACATCTTCAGAATTTCCGCTCGATCGCAAATGGCATGAACACGCTTGAAAGCATTTTTTCAGTTGAAACACACATCAAATTTTGCTGCTAATTGCAAGTATTCATATATTGACTTCTTCATTCGTACATATGCACTTGTTTCACATTAGCTAAATTAAGCTCTTGATATATATTATCAGACAATGTAGCAACGCTAGTAATTAGTAATTTCCATAGGTTAACACATAAGCTGTATTATATGGTCAATCACCATTAAGACATGTGTCCTAGATACGTATAAATGAGTAAACTCTCCCTAGACGACACACTTAAAAAGAAGTTTTTTTTTTATTTATACATAATTACAATGAGTCAAGTACCTAACATGTTTAACAATTAAAAATTGTGATTTGTCTTATTTTTTAAGTCAAAAGTAAACTGCACTGGTATTGGTAAAATTACTAAGGTGGCTGCTTACTCTAAGTGTGTTTAATCGGCCATTCCGAAACCTGCTATTTACAAACATAAGCTTGTCCTGGTATAATATAATATGCAAACAAGTTTTCAAAATAGAGAGGATTACATTCGTA